AAGAGGATATAACCCTGATATACATATATGCACCCAATATAGGAGCACCTAAATTTATAAATAAACTTTTAGAGGACTTTAAGGGAGAGATCGACAGCAATNAAAAATCTTCTAGAGGACTTTAAGGGAGAGATCGACAGCAATACAGTCATACTAGGGGACTTTAACACCCCACTCACTTCACTGGGTAGGTCTTCCAGACAAAAAAATCAACACCAAAACAGTGACCCTAAATGACACACTAGATCAGATGGATTTAATTGACATTTACAAAACATTCTACCCCAAAGCTGCAGAATATATATTCTTNACCCCAAAGCTGCAGAATATACATTCTTCTCAAGTGCACATGGGACATTCTCAAAGATAGACCACATGTTAGGACACAAAACAAGTCTCTACAAGTTCAAGAAGACTGAAATCATATCAAGCATCTTCTAGGACCACAGTGGCATGACATTAGAAATCAACTACAATAAAAACACTAAAAGACATTTCAACACATGGAGGTTGAAAAGCATATTTTTAAACAATGAATGGGTTACCAAAGAAATCAAGAAAGAAATAAAAAATTTCCTGGAAACAAATGAGAATGAACANTTCCTGGAAACAAATGAAAATGAACACACAACAACTCCAAATCTATGGGACACAATGAAAGCAGTCCTGAGAGGGAAGTTCATAGCACTACAAGCCTACCTCAAAAAACAAGAACAACTTCTAATAGACTCTCTAACCTACAACTTAAAAACTTAGAAAGAGAACAACAAGAAAAGCTCAGAGTAAGTAGAAGGAAAGAAATAATAAAGATCAGAGCAGAAATAAATGACAGAGAGACCAAAAAAAATAATAATAACACAAAAGATCAATGAAACCAAGAGCTGGTTCTTTGAAAAGATAAACAAGATTGATGAACCTTAGCCAGACTCATCAAGAAACAAAGAGAGAGGACCCAGATAAATAAAATCAGAAATGAAAGCGGTGAAGTAACAACTGACCCAACAGAAATACAAAGGATTGTAAGAAAATACTATGAACAACTATATGCCACCAAGCTGGTCAATCAGGACAAAATGGACAAAATCCTAGAAAAATAAAACCTTCCAAAACTCAATCAGGAAGAGTCAGAAAGTCTAAATAGGCCGATAACTGCTGATGAAGTTGAAGCAGTAATCAAAGGGCTCCGAGCACACAAAAGCCCTGGTCCGGATGGCTTCACAGGGGAGTTTAACCAAACATTCAAAGAAGAATTAACACCTATCCTCCTCAAACTATTTCAAAAAATCCAAGAGAAAGGAACACTCCCAAACTCTTTTTATGAGGCCAGCATTAGCCTAATTTCAAAACCAGATAAAGACACTACAAAGAAAGAGAATTACAAGCCAATATCACTGATGAACATAGATGCTAAAATTCTCAACAAAATATTAACAAATCAGATCTAGCAATATATTAAAAAGATCATACACCATGACCAAGTGGGATTTGTTCCAGGGATGCAAGGCTGGTACAATATTTGCAAATCAATAAACGTGATACATCACATAAACAAATTGAAAGACAAAAATCACATGATCATATCAATAGACGCAGAAAAAGCATTGGATAAAATCCAACACTCATTTTTGATAAAAATTCTCAGCAAAGTGAGAATAGAGGGATCATACCTCAACGTAATAAAGGCCATATGTGACAAACCTACAGTCAACATTATACTCAGTGGGCCAAATATAAAACCCTTTCCCCTAAGAGCAGGAACAAGACAGAGGTGTCCACTTTCACCACTCTTATTCAACATACTACTAGAAGTCCTAGCGACTGCGATCAGACAAGAAGAAAACATAAAGGGTATCGAAATTGGAAAAGAGGAAGTAAAACTGTCATTATTTGCAGATGACATTATATTGTACATAGAGAATCTTAAAGGCTCCACCAAGAAACTACTAGATTTAATAAATGAATTCAGCAAGGTAGCAGGATACAAAATTAACACTCAGAAATCGATGGCATTTTTATATACCAATAATGAACTCTCAGAAAGAGAAACTAAAAAAATTATCCCATTTACCAGTGCAACTAAAAAAAATAAGATACCTAGGAATAAACTTAACCAAAGATGTAAAAGACCTTTACTCAGAAAACTATAGGACTTTGAAAAAAGAAATAGAGGAAGATATGAACAAATGGAAAAATATACCATGTTCATGGATTGGAAGAATTAACATCATTAAAATGTCCATACTACCCAAAGCAATCTATAAATTCAAT